TTTGGGGCATTAGGGCCCTATTATGGAGTGTTATGAGAGGTTTTAGTAAACAATTTTTATTTGGCCCCGTAGAGCTTGCATTGAGCTTTGATTTGATGTATGATTTAGCCCTGTAGCTTAATTTGTTCGCTTGTTGTGATGCTTTTTGCCCGAGGATGTACCAGAGTTCCCCTAATTTTTTTCCAAGAGGTGTTTTTTGCACCGAAGCCCACTTCAGAGGAGTCCAGAAAAGTTACTTATGGTCAGAGAGGTCTGAAAAAAATTCAGCGAAGTCTATGCATGTATTTGTTATGATTGTGTGATTTTCACTAATGAGGAGGCAGTTTTGACTAATTTGGAAGAGGTTAAAATAGGGTTCTGAGCTCTTAATGACAAATTTTGGCATTTTTTTTCAATTTTTGAAGGCCTATATCTTGTAAACCAGTCATTCTAACATGCTTTGATTTAGAGATATCAATATTTGTGTTGACAGCTCTGGGAAAAACAAAGTTATCATTGATTTGATCATGCACTTTGTATTTTATAACACCTCAAACATGGGTGAAAGTTGCAGTTGAAAAGGTTTCGTTTAAAAATAAAACTTTGGAATACCATATCTCGATTGTTTATTGATGGATTTTGATAATTCTTTTTTTAATGTTCTTGTTTCATAGAGTAGATTTGAACCCCTGAGGTTTAAACGTCAATATTGTTCAAAAAAATTTTCGCTTGTGGTACACAACCACAAAAATTAACAAATAAGTGCTTTTGTCCACCCATGCGAACATTGGCCGTTTTAACCCTAAACGTATTTAAATTTAATTCAAGAAAAAGTAGGCCTACAAGATATTACATCTAAATAATGAAATCACTCACAATGTCCGTTGCGGTTTTGGTGAAGACACGCTCTAATACAACACACACACACACACACACACACACACACACACACACACACACACACACACACGCATTATATAAAAGGTAGGAACAACGTCAAATTAAATGACATTACGCTATATAAAAACGAAAAATAGTAAAACAAGACATCAGAGCAATAACACTTTAAAAAAAATTAACACACCAAGTTAAAGCACAAAAAAGAAGGAAAAATAAAAGTCTTAAAGAAACCACACGCACAATCAACGTTGTGTCAACAAGTGAGAAAGAGACGAAGTGAAGCTGAAGTGAAAATAATTTTTTTTCTAAAAGTAAAGAGGTTCGGTTTCTTTTCCTTTTCTTCTTTTTAAAATTTTAATTCCCCAGCAGTGGTTTTGTTTTTTTGTTTTTTTGAAAAATGCAAAAGTCGCGGCCGCGATTCGCGGACCAAAAAAGGCCCAAAATCGCGGCCGCGACAAATGCAGATGCTAGATAATTACCAGTCCTCCCACCCACTCAACAACGGCAAGCCACCTATGGAACATCTATCGTCCTTACTAAATCTCTCGTCCTTTTTATGTATGTTACTCTCTAGTAACACATTTATTCTTCGGCACTTATATTTATATCACCTTATTTTGTTGCAAGTGCCGTAAAACTCTTACTAAAAAACTAAACGACAACGACTAGCCCACCTCATCCTTGAACCAACAGCCCCTGTCCTGGACACCCTGGGGGAAAAGATTATTAAATAAAAATGTTTTGCCAGATCACCATTTTATTTTATTTGTAAATTACTTAAAAACTTATTCTGGTGTGTGGGTAGCTCAGACGACTAACCTGACAAACAGTTGACTGTTGTTGTTTCTCTACTTTGCTTTATACATCATTGTCACAAGGTATAATACAGTTTTGCCTTCACCATTCAGTTGTGGCGTCAGTAGCCTCTTGTGGTTAGGCTACCGGACTTATGAGAGCCTCAACTCTGTCCGAAGTTGTGTCCTTGGGAGAGGCACTTTGTTCGAATTTCCCACTTGACTCTGTCTTTTCGGAGATGGATGTTAAACTCGGAGGTCCCGCCTCTCCTAATTGTGTTGACAGGGGCGTTAACTTAAACCCATTCCCATACCATTCTTCTATTTTTTAAAAATATGCAGCTCAGAAAAATACATCGATATTTGGAGCCAAATACTGTGCTCACTGGATCTTCTATTTTATCTTTCTTCGGTCTTTTATATTTTAAAAAATATTTTGCGAGCAGCTGGAGGAGTCCTTGGTGTAGTCTGCTCTTTTTACTTTTTGTCAATGCAGTGTTTTTATTTCTATTTACCTATTCTGTTCCTGATGAAACAGTTTTTATTGTGCTAACTTGTTGTTAATTACTAATGTATTTCAGAACTGTCCGAATATGAGAGTGCTGCTGATGAAAATGGAGATCCAGAGGTGAGATATTACTGTGGAACTCAGATTCAACGAAGTTGTCAGGCCTAGCTTTCAATTTCGTTGAATCGGAGTGTTCGTTATTTCAAACATGAGGTTTTTGTGTAGATAATTACATGCACCCAGCAAGTAATGCATAATGTATTCGATTTCCTCCATCAAAAGTAGTTTGGTTTCAAATGAGAAGCACTTTGATTTTTGTTTCTTTGAAACCATACCGAAGAAATGCTGGAAAATTCTAGGAAAATACACTAAACTCTACCAAGCACACTGCAAAAGGGCCGATTTGTTCAAATGCACGCTTTTGTCATCTCTCTCCTATGCCATATTGTAAAGCCTAGCATACGCCAACATGTGATTTACTCAAAAAAAACAACAACCGCGGCGCATAATTCATTACGTAGATCTATGTCAAGACTAGCTTTTCATTGTAATATTTGATTTGCAGTGAGGGGGAAAAAATGACTATGACGCGTTTGTATCTCCACTGACGTTCCACACCCGGACTGCTTGTGCCCCTCGCCTAAGTCAGTCAGTCACATGTGTGCTGGGCATAGAAGGTCTGACTCCCAACACATTGTAACAGATGTACACATGCCAACTACGGTTTGATAAGTATGATTGGTCGCATAATAAACAATAGGCAAAGTGAACAATGGTTCACGATGCAGGTGCCATGGATAGTTTTCAGGAATAGATAACACTGTGGGAGAAAAATGAGCAAAAAAGCCGCATCAGCGGGGGGCTGTTCTTCCTGCAAGCGACTACGTTGAATCTGAGCCTTCTCATTTATGTGTTCATTGAATCTCTGAGTTATCTTTACTGATTTTAATGAATAAAAAATCCCCCGGAGAATCCGTCTTCTTTCATTTATGCCGTGTTTTCGTTGAATCCGAGTTCCACTGTATTAGTGTTAAACTTTTGATAATTGGGTAGACTTCTAGATGTTTTTGTTGGGGGCTGTTCAAATATATAATCTTACACCTGGAAAGGGGGGGGGGGGGGGGGGGGTGTCTTTGGCTCCTGTAAGAAAGGGGGGGGGGGGGGGTCTTGAACCAATGTAATACAGTGGAACTCGGATTCAATGAGGTCACCGGGCCTAACCTAAAGTCTCGTTAAATCCGAGTGTTCGTTATAATAGCAAACACAAGGTTTAGTGAAGATAATTACAGGCACTGAGCAAGTAATGTATAAAGAGAAGTCACAAGTAGTGCCTGAAATGCCTGCATATCATTAGCTGTGTAAAAAAAAGATCGATTCGTTCCAATGCACACGCCTGTGTTATCTCGATTATTTACCAAAAAGTTGCGTTGCTGTGTAGAGCCTAGCATACGGCAACTTTTGATTCCATAGACCAGGGCACAATTCATTATGTAGATCGACGTGAAGACTAACTTATCATTGTAATACTGATCAGTTGTCGAGGAAAAAAAAGACTGTGACGCGTTTGTATCTGCGACGTTCAACGCCCGGGCCGCTAGTGCCCCCCCCCCCCCCTCGTCGACCCAGACACACGCCAGAGTAGACACGTGCGCGTGCCAACAAGGCATGTGTTGGTATGAAAAAAGGTCGCTGATTGGTCGCATGCAATCACTAAGTGAATAATGGTTCACGATGCAGGTGCCACGGATGGTTTCCGTGAATAGATAAAGTTCGTTCTGGGAGAAAAATTAGTGAAGCCTCGTCTGCGGGGGCTGTTCACCCTGGAAGCGACCTCGTTGAATCCGAGCTCGGTGATTAAGTGCTTGTTGAATCCGGGTTATTTTTTATTGATTTTAAAGAAGAAAAAATTCGGGGAATCTATCTCATCTTGTTGAATCCGAGTTCCACTGTATTATTACACTTTTGTGAGGGGAAAAAATGAGGAAGAAAAGGGTGACCTTGGTCAAGAAACCCTGCATGGTGTGCAGAGGCCACAAGGAATGTGGAGAATATTTTCAAAGTATTGCAGCATTGAAGAGGCACAGGGCTTTGAACAGTAAGAAACGGAGTTGGAGGAGGAAGAGGAGACAGAGCATAAAGTTGGAACAGGTCCCATATTTGGAAGACAGCTCTGCAGATGCCCCTGTAAAAAAAAAAATATTTTTGACATAATGATGAACACTGCCTTTGTTGATGATAACTAATTACACTTTTTGTATAAGCATAATGATCAGTAATAACAGATACAGTGGAATGCTGATAAAGTCAACTCTTGCTTACTCAACACCTCACTGATCCGTTTCTTACCTTCTTTGTTTAAGTAATTGTGTTTCTGATACATGTACAATCAACCGCTTGAGTGTTAACCCTGCGTAAAGTCAACAATTTGGGGCTAAATCCCAAGTAGAATTTATTTTAATTTAATTAAGAGGAGGTATTTTGGTTCTGAGCTAGTGGTGTACACACCTCCTATTACTTTGTTCACTCATTATCTCTTGTTTTGGTGACATCTTCAGAATTCTACTCGCTGAAACATGCTAGGTACTTTTTTTTATTTTGTAGCTGTCATCTTCAATTTTCAATGGCTAGTAGTACTATGGATAAAGTCAACCTTGCTCAAAGTCAACACTTTTTTCGGTCCTGAATTCCTCTGTAATTTGTTTTATTTATATATATATATTTAATTAAGGCGCTGTTGAAATTGACATGGGTCTTAATCTTTTCCTTATTTGTAAGAAAGAGTGGCAAATGTTAAGACGGGGGGGGGGGGGGTGTCAAAAAGTCCCCAAAAAGGTGTAAGATTATATTTGAACAGCCCCTTGTTGTTTTTGATAATACTGTAATTGAATCTGTGATTATGCGTAAATACATTAGTGTCACGATGACCCTTGTCAATTTTTGGACATATCGAGTTATTGTATCTATCATTCTAAAGCTCATTCTTTTGTCTTGCTTTAGGTAAAAAAAAAATCCTCGTCTATCGTGAAAAGAAGTGGAGATATTTGCGACTGAAGGAGGTAGGGGTCGCCTGGTTTCAGAGGTAAAATTAGCGAGAAGAAAGTGGCCGTCAAAGTTTTGCGACTTCCAAAGCTTGAGAGTCCTTTGAATGAAACTGCAAATTTACATTTTTTGTGCCTTAAATAAACATTTTACAGTAAACTCCCCACAAAAATGTGTTTTTAAATGGACCTTAAAGGTATTGAGCCAAAAAACAAAATTTCAGTAAAAATTGCCAAACGGACAGAATAATGCGAATTTCTTCGATTTCATTATTTTGATGAGCGCCTGATTTTACCATGGTGCTTCACTTTTTATACATGTATTAAAGTCTGTCTTTGACTGTTTTATGAACCTGGATAAACAGGGTGATAAAAAAAAACTACAAAATAACTTTTTTTCTGAATATTTCGCACAGAATTTGGGACAGGTATAATTCTTCGGAAAGGAATTTGTTTGACATAAAATTAATATAAAGAAAAAACTTGTTTTCGAAAATGGAAATGGCTTTTATAAAAACCACCTGTAAACGCAAAATGCACCATTTTAAAAGATCCTGTAAGGAGAGTCTCTCTCTCTCTCTCTCTCTCTCTCTCTCTCTCTCTCTCTCTCTCTCTCTCTCTCTCTCTCTCTCTCTCTCTCTCTCTCTCTCTCTCTCTCTCTCTCTCTCTCTCTCAGACCTGCCACTCATCCCGATTTAATCGGGATATCCCGATTTTTTCCCCCAAATCTCAAGCATCCCGATTTTCCCGATTTCGATCGCCAGTATCCTGATTTTTTGTCGTTGTGTCTGTTGAGTCCGATTCTTGGAAAAAAATGTAAAAAGTTCTGCAATCTCTTTTGCTTGGAAGCACCGATTGGGCTTTTTTTTATCGGCAGGAACTTGGAACGATACTTTTTAAAGCATCTATGCCGAATCTAGTAGATGACTCACGCACGTTATTTCAACTAAAATCGACGTAGTATCAATTTTGAATTCCGACATGGATACGCTCAAGATCTACTTTCGCTTTTATAACGCAGGATTGTCCGATCGTGTCCTGATTACTGTAACAATTATGACATGGGCTTTTAAGAGTAATCTATTCGTTGTTCTGTCGTTGCTTTATAAGCAAGCTTCGTCTGAGTTCTGGTTAGTCGAGCCCATCATCAAGACCTGTCAGTGGAACTTTCAAACACTCATTCGCATCACGTGACATGACCTCGCATGTGTGAGTAGCGCATGTGTCGGGGACCGTCGGCTGTCGGGTCAACAAAGTTCATTCACACCGGTCGCATTGGTCGAGGTGTTTTTCGGGACATAAACAGTGTGGACGACGGGGGGAGGGGGTGGGGGTATTTTTTTGACACTTGGGCTGTGCGTGCACTTTGAGGACAAAGGAATAAGAAAAAAGGAAATAAATGAACAACCTTGGCGCGATCTTTTTTTCGGGGGGTGCCTTGAGTGGATATGCGATGGAAGTCAGACGTTGTTACCGTACGAAAACGCGGGCTTTTTGCATGGACGGTTAGAATTATGTGTCAGCTATTTTCAAAACTACGAGAGTTTCAGCTTTGCTGCATCCTGCGCTCCCCCAGTCTATCCAGCTCCGACTCGAGTTCATATGCTGTCTTTCAGTTTTCTCTCTATTTAGAGGCCCAAACGTGAACTTATTCCTGCAAAAGTTTTCTCTTGCATACTTGCCTCATAAATGGGAACCAAGACCTTCCCCAGTACCCCTTATGGCTGATTTGCCGTTGATCCCGATTTTTTTTCCACCAGATCCTGATCTTTTTTTCACCAGATCCTGATTTTTTAACTCTAAAATCCCGATTTTTAGATTTCATAGAGTGGCAGGTCTGTAATCCATAATATTCGTAGTTACGCTGTTACTTTCAAAACAAGCCTTGTCCGAGGTCTGGTAACTGCGCGTTCACATCAAACACTCGGACGAGCGACTGTCTTTCTCTAACCCTTATACAACTACATGTAACTGCGCTGACAAGACTAACATACCGCCGTTGTCGTTGCTTCAGTCTGAACACATTATGAGGGATAAGAGATTTGTTGGTACAATTGGTCGGTCGGCCGTCGTCGTTATCCT